TGAACTTGTGGAACAGAAGGGGGAATAAATATGGATGATAGGATATGAAGTGGACTGTAAAATGGACATGTCAAAAATAGCTCTATATATCTATATATGCAAAATACCCGTGGCTTCTTTCGATGTTATGCAGGGAACTTGGCGCTGTTTCCTGGAAAACAGTTAATATGACATCTATTCCCACCTCTTCTGTCATTTGATGATATGTTAATTGTATTCATAGCAAAAGTGCGCATGTGTCTTGTGGAATTCAACATGCGATATACCTAAATCCAGTCCGCTGGAGAAAGCAGTAAAAACTAAAAGGACAAAAAGGAAAAGGAAAAGGCAATAACTAGAAACAATTCAGTCAAGCAATTTGGTTTTTAATTTATCTTGAACCCAACAATACCCCCTAGTTTGTTTCAACCCATTGCCTTCAGCGGCGCATATTTATGAGGCTGTTGCGGAAAGTAGGTAAGCTCTAAGCAAGGCAAAACTGCAGTTAATAGAAAAAGTAAACAAATTCAAGCTCAAAGTTAACAGTTCGCATATCTATTGACCCGCAATACGGACTTGAGCGGTTGGATGTACGGCCTTGATTTTCATTCTTGTTCACGTCATTGCCATGGATATCTGCGTTGCAATTGAATGAAATTAAAATCTGATTACTGGGGCCTAGCCTCTATCCTAGGTAAAAAGATCACAGTTCTTCGCTAAATCGTTAATACACAGGTACGCTCCTCAAAGCACGTTAATGATCTATATACAGTACAGAGAAAACAGGTGGGAATCTGGAGGAAGGAGGAAAGTGGAGCAAAGGAAAAAGAAAATGCAAATGAAGATCGAGAGAATCAAGGGATAGAAGGAAACTTTGTCCCGAATAATTGAAACAATTCAGCATGCTGAATGAAAAAGGTTAAAGAAGACCATTCAAGCCAGTTTCTGGTTGAAAAGCAAAGAACTCCCCTTCTCACACATTCCAATCAAGTATATGAGAACGGAATAAGAGGAATTGGAACTGATGATAAACTGTTGACATAGAATAACACATATCAGAACGACAGAAGTTTGGGGGGGGGGGGGGGGGGGGGGGGGGTTAAATGGAGAACAGGTTCAGTGAAATATGATGTTGCATGGTTAGAAAGGAAGAAAGCATGGATGACAAACGATGATAGTATGTACTTTTTAGTGCACATAAAATTGTCCGAATATCAAATCGTGTAGGCGATGTGAACTCACAGATGGGGGAGAGGGGTATCAAAACAATTCAGCTAATCCAATTACTCCTGATCTCGCGTTCTCTCTCTTCTCCCGTTTCTAGGGTCCCTGTATGATGTCACCCAGTTGTGTCCTCAAATATAACTCGCCCAGGGAGGAACGAATGTCGAGGATGATGCAGTGGAATTTCAAATTTTCTTTTCTAATTGAACTTGGTGTGAATTATATCGGGGTTCTCATGCCAATCGTCAATGCTGACCCACATCTAAAACAATGAAGTATATAATTAGCGCCTTATAAATAAAAAAGAAAATAAAATAAAATAAAATAAAAAAAGGAATCTTTAATAATACTTTGGGAGAGGTCTGCGATTTACCTTTCTGAAAGTGCTTAGACCAGCAAGAATGCTGCCTCCAATCCAGGTACTGTATTTTCGCTCCGGGGGAGCAAAAATCTTGATTCGCATATCCTTGACCGCCAATCGTTGAACCTCATGAAGCAATCTATCGCCGAAACCTCGACATAAGGTTGAGCCGCCGGAAAGGACAATATTGCCGAATAGCGCCTTGCGCAGATCCATGTCGGTGCGATTGATTGCATCTACGACGATTTGGTGAACTCCGGGATATTCAAGGCCAATAATTTCAGGATCAAAAAGAATCTCAGGAGCTCGAAATCGTTCCGCTCCAACCTATACTTCCAAAAGCCAATCTGTTAGAAACCTGTCTCAAAAGCGCGTGCCCACAATTACATTGAGACGCATACCTTAAGTTTGTGTCCATCCGGCAGGATATATTCCTGTGTCTTAGCATCCACCTTCGTAACATTCGTCGACCAATCTTTCTCTTCTTTCTTTGGATCCAATGCCACATATCCAGTCTTCTCTTTGATCATTCTGACCACCTCTTTCTCAGCGCTTGTATGGAATACGTAGCCACTTTTCCGAAGGAGCAATTGCAAATACTCTGTAACATCACGGCCCGCCACATCAATTCTTCGTATACTGCTTGGCATCGCGAAGCCTTCGTACACGGGGACCGCATGCGAAACACCATCTCCAGAATCTAGCACAATGCCCGTTGTCCGACCCGAAGCATACAGTGACAACACGGCCTGAATCGACGTGTAAAGCGCTGGTATATTAAACTGTTCAAACAATATCTGAGCGGCCGTATCGCGGTTGGTCCGCGGATTTAGTGGAGGTTCGGTCAATAACACTGGATGCTCTTCGCTCAACGTCTTCAATTCGCCTTCGTATACCCACTGCCAAATCTTCTCCATGTCGTCCCAATCCGTTACAATGCCATGTTCCAGAGGATATCTGATTTTCAGAAGACCCCGCAGCTCTTGTGCTCTTTGCCCAATAAAGACATCTCCTTCCAACGCGCCGGCTAAGACTCGAAGGTGTTTTGGTCGACCGACAAATGAGGGGAAATAGCATTTCGGTAGGTCCTCGCCTGCGAACCCAGCCCGAATGGTCCCACTGCCATTGTCAAGCACTATGGGGGCATTGTGTAGTGCTGTTTCTGCCATTATTTGTATGTATGTGGAATGATTAGGGTGGAGGAGCAGGGTAGGTTCAGGGGATGATGATTGACCGGGTCGAGGAGGGAGCTGAGGAGGCGCGGAGGGAGGCTGCAGGTGGCCGTGGAGAGGTGTCTGAGTACAACAGTGAGATCGTAAGAGCGATTGTAAAAGGCGGTAACTGTGCGTGGTTTTGGTAAGATTTCTGCGGAGTGAAGTTGGTTTTGTTCGAAAAAAAGAACTTAACTCTCAATGCATGGCGTTAATTTTTGGCGGAGGTCAACAAACAGAATGGAGCTTGGACCAAGCTCAACGGCCTCTTCGGATTTTTATGGGCAACATGCTTAGTTATTTAAATAACCTTGGAATATTTAGAACAACAATGCCCCGATAAACGCAGCAGATCCCTGAATAAAATATAATTAATTATCCAAATGAATTTCAAAATCGCATATTTTTACATATCTGATGGTTTACAGTTTGAAGTTACATTTGTCCCTTTACCATCCCGTACGAGAGAAGAATACCAAAAACGACAACGTTTATTTACTAGGTATGCAACGCGTTTCTATTGCCCCATAGGCGTGTTCGATTGCTGTTGGTCAATGTTGAATGAACGGTGACAGACAAATGCATCGCATAAGTTGTTGCGCACCGGGTTTTGATTCTTCATTTGCGCTCAAAAGCACCTGAGGGGTGGAGCCTTGATCTCATCGAACCATCTCCATGTGCCTCCGAGGAACTCAGACACGGTTACTGCTTGCAATAGGAAACAACGGAAACCAGAAACCAACCGGTAGAGAAATCAAATGAACCACATTAAGACATGAAGAGTAAATGGGAATGGGTAACGATAATAATAGGGTTCGTAATCCATTGCTCCAAACGCCATGCAATGCCGAATGGGAAAGTCTTCTTGTATCATCAATGGGCACTGATACTGTTCCAATTCATCCCACAGTTTATCTCTTCAGTCAATGGTAAAGTGATTATATCCCACAAGGTAAAGGTAACCAGGAAAACCAAGTTCAGACCAAAAGGATAAGACAGCCCGGGACCTGAGGCAGGATGCAGAATCAAAAGCAGATGTCAATGAAAGGAAAATCAGCCCCAGAAGCAATTCAATCGACAAAACCTAGCTCGTCTTCCATCACCCCGGTGAGACCTTTGCCAGCATGCCCTTTATTGACGCTTGGAGGCCATGCGTGCATGCGGGATCGGAAACCTTCAGCTTCTCCTAAGACCTGTGCTAGGTTTCTATAAGCAGATTAGACATGTTTCTGGTATAGCCTGTTTTACCAGTGGCGAGGGAAGCAATTCATTGCCCATACCCAAGTTTACCATGCATCACGTACCCACTGACCGCTAACTGTTTTGCTAGTTCATCTTGGTGATTATGAAGTAGTTGGGGATTCGGAACCACCATAAGGGGTATACCCAAGCGAAGAACTTCGAGAATTGTGCCCGAGCCTTCGGCCGCACGGAATCAGCAGATCACAATATCAAACATAACTTGTATAATTGCGAAAGGGGAGTCAACATACCCGCATGGCTGATGACTAGCCCCTCCGCTTTATTGGCTTTGGCATCTGCCTTAACAGCTAGCATTTCATTCTTAAGACCCGCTAAGTTGAAGTCAAACCCAGTGACATTCAATCCATATTTTTCTTTAGTCGAAGCCTCGCTCTGAAGTTTAAATTCCTGGACGACCGCTTCTCCAAGTTGGCCATACTGAATCAAAAGATCAGTGTAGTCATTTTCCTTGAGGGCTTTTAGGAAGGGCTCTTCGAGAACCTCTGAAACAAGAGCATTGAATGGGGCCGTAGCCCCAACCGTCACAAAACATAATTTTGCCGGTTTTGAAGAGTCCATAGAGCAATCAAGTATGAAGTGCTTTTTCTAATGCGACCCCAGCGCGTAATTATATTTGCAGAACCAGTAGAACAATATTCGGTTCAAGGAAGAACAGATTGTAAGACTGCAGAGCGCATGGGGCACAAGTTATACAGAGCATATATAACAATTAATTTTTCTAGAGATGTAGTTAATGAACTGCAGGGAAATGGGGATGTATCAACATCTCTTTTTACGACTTGACGTCGAAGACACCCGGAAAGGAGATTGGGGAGCAGCTTACGTCATGATTAAGTTGGTGCCCGGAGAAATATTTATGCGCCGTCGTCCAAAAGCTTAGAGTCTTTGCGGTTCATGAAATTTCTGAATGTCGGGTCTCGAGCAGCAGAAACTTGTTATATATGTGGTGCAATTTCGGCCCAATGGCTTCGGTAACGACGTCCATCGGCCGGGCCACTTTGATCCTCTGTAGACAAACGGCCCCAAAGCGGAGCTCGATATGCTCCAGTGCTTTGAAACCGACGAGACAATTTGCGCCCTTCAGCCACTCTTGTAGGTTGGCCCAAAAGGATTTCATCGAAGTGCCAGAATACTCACCAGACCTTCTCGATCCTTCGGAACGCGCTCAATATGATGCGATGGCCCCGGACCAACGAGAGACGTTTGACCGTGAGTTCATGACACTCGCCCAGACACTTCGCGACGAAGGGCTTGGCCAGACCATGAACGAAATCCATAAAGAAGCAGCTCCGTTCGTGGGCTGGACTGGTGGGAACGAGGATGTTGAAGAATATTTTAACGATGATGTTCACAGGTTTCAATCTGAGCCTTATATGGAAGATGGAATTACTTCTATGGCCTATGACGAGCTGGAACAACATCGAGAACTGAGGAAATACGCTCGTATTTCTGCATGGGAAATGCCATTGCTCAGCAGTACGTTCTCAATTCTTTCCTCCTGGGTTTTGCGTTGTCTGCTCAGTCTCCTTTTCATGATTTAATAGCAAACTGTTGCTAATTTGTTCCTCGTATCAGACCTCGTAAAACCGTTTACCTTACCAGATGAGACACAACTCCTCCGATTCAGATATACTACCTACATGGGCGAGACACACCCAGCAGAAACCAAGGTCGTCGTTGAATTCTGCTCAAAAGACCTGGTTCCTAAATACCTTACCGAAGAACAACGAATAACACTGTTGAAATTGGTTGGCCCCCGTTATAACCCAGACAAAGACCTCATTCGCATGTCATCGGAAAATTATCCCACACGTGCACAGAATAAGCGATACCTGGGAGATCTCGTTGATACCATTATCAAAGAGGCAAAGGAGGGTGACTCCTTCGCAGATGTCCCACTGGACCTGCGTCACCACAAACGGAAACCGAGGTTCCACTTCCCGGAGTCCTGGGTGATGACGGAAAAGAAACAACAAATATTGCGTGAGAGGCGACGAGAGAATATGAAACTGAAGGAAGGGGAAAATCTCACTGTTATTGATGGAAATAAGGTGGTAGAGAAAGCTATTAATAGTATTCCTGTACCCAACCCGGCTGCTCAGTTGGGTGCTGGAGACGATGTGAAGGAACCTGTACATGCAAGGGCTATAAATACTCCTGCTCCATGGAAACCCTTCACTGGTCGACTTTAAGTGGATTCAGCTATTCTTTTACTTTACATTTCCTTCTTTCAAACGATTTTCTTATAAAACCTATGGTTTGCAATATGTATATTATTTGATGTATTGCAGCTTTGAATTTACAACATCCTGTATCATATTTTTTACTTGTTATCATATATCACCAAGGGAAAGGTGTCACATCGTATGTCTGTCTGTTCATTGTTATACTTACCTTTTTCGACCATGCCTTCGCAGCTCTCAAGTGCCTCACAACGATATTTCCCTTGATAGATTTCGATAATACAGAAGTTATCCTAAGGGTTTGCAAATTGAGATTGGCTGTATAGTTCATCTGTGATGAATTCCATTTTCAATGTTGGGGAAAGGGGATGTTGGTAGCAAAATTTCACAAACAACAGGGGTGAAAATCATAAGAGGAAATCATAAACTCCATTGGCGAATTCCCTCCCCCCTCCCCCTCCCTCGATTGGGGGAGAAGAGCGGAGTGTGAGGTTCATAAATTGTTTATTTTCAATGAAAATGGGGGCATATTCTGGCAGGACTTGGAATTGTGCAGCAATCATAACAGAAAAAGCCAAAAAGTGTGCCAAAGGGTATACCACAAGTCAAAGTAATGGAATGAACGTACAAATTTTCAATTCACGAGTTTGGCCTCCGGAATATGCCAATATAAAAAAGCCTGTATACCCAAATTGGAACAGCGGATAAAAGACAAAAAAAAAAAAAAAAAGAAAGAAAGAAAAAAAGGAGAAGCACACAAAGCCAGCAGAAAAGGCATTCAGCATAGCTGTCATCTCGCCTCAGTATCTTGGTTCCAAACAAGTCACACTCATGTTAACCAGACTTTGAACTCGGAAGTGAAATGTTCGCTGTTCACAGAAACCACTCAGCGGTGTCCACTGGCAGGACGATGGGCATCGTCATTGAAGCCAAGGCCAAAGGGATCAATTTCTTCGTTCTGCGTCATGCGGCGTTGGCGGAAATCTTCTCCATTCTGATTGTATCCAATTGGATTGAGAGTCTGGTGTGCGTTAGAATAGCGTTCGCTGTTACCAGACTCAGTACTACTCGCATGGTTTTCGTGAGCAGCCCCAGTTGCAACATCATGATCAGGCCCGACTGCCAGCGCAGAATGGGAAGAGCGGAACGATGGAGCACGAGTTGGAGAAGGAATTGGGGATGAGAGAGAGGAAAGAAGCCCGATACGGTTTTGGGTAACCGGGGTCGCTGCTACGCTTACGCCGAAGGTGTTACGGAGCGAGTAATTTACAGTTGCCACCGAGCGGTTGGAGGTAGCATGGACAGGTTGGGGATGAATGGGGTGACGAGTCTTTAATTTCTGCGCTGGCTCTGCGGGGTGGGTTGGCTCCTGTGAATCGGTAACTGCCATGGACTGGAACGGGGGTAAAAGGCTGGCAGATATGTCACCATCATTGCGGTTTGCCATACCCCAAGGGGAGTTGATTCCGGAGACAATGGACCGAGTGTGAGCAGGAATAACAGAATTTGTATTCATGACATGAGGACGAATCTCAGCACTTGCCATATTGCTAACAGCCATAGAGGGAAATCCAATGGGAGCTGCAGCACTGAATGCATGAGAGCTGCCAGGCTCCTGAACCAAAGAGTGAATGAATCCATGAAGGGAATGATTATGGGCCAGGACTGGATTGGGATCATCTGATGGTATGTCTTTGACTTGGGTAAGGATATCGAAATCACCCGAAACAGATATATTGTCAAACATGGTGTTTCCCTTGGTGGTTTCGTCTGACAAAGATGAGCAGATGGAGTTCGGCATCCCGTTTGCTACTACGGCAGGAGAAAAGTAGGTTCCATTTGAAGCAAAAGGAGGACCTTCAATCGGAGAGTAGTATGGTCTATCACTTGCTGCCTCTCTTCTAGGAAGTCCTTCGTTAAATATTGGAGGTGGTAAAATGTACCCTATGCCAGGGAATGATGCGTCAGGCATCTGGTCAATAGTTTTCCAACTACGGGGAACGTTGGGGCGGGTATCCATTCCTTCAGACCCCAGGAGACTTTTGACCTTATACTTGTCACGGAACCAGCGAGGAATATCACGAAGCCCAAGCCGTTCCAGGGTTTCGAGATCTCCAGGCATCTCATGCTTGAATCGACATCCTATTACAATTCATTAGGCTTAGGTTAAAAAAACGAACAAAAAGGACTCAACTCAGCATACCCTGCTGCGAATAGTCGCACTCCCCACGGCGAATCCAAAAAGAACAGTACTGCTTTTTGGAAGGAGTTTTTGGGTTATTTGCATTATGAGACCTGAATTGTCGTAGCGCAGCGGGACTGCCATCCTATCGTTCAACACCCCTATTAGTTTTGAACGCTTTAAATGAAGCTGATTTTTGAAGAATACTCACATTCCTCAAAATCTCTTGGCCGATAGGGGTGGCTGCATTGCTATTAACCCCACTTCTCCAGTTTATAATACTGCGATCCGCGGAGTCGGGACTCCAAATCGCTGCATTTATAGCACCTGGTTGATGAGAAATCCCACTCGCGCCTATTGTAATAGCAGATGCTATACCTATTTCCCCATTTGGGGCTCCATTAGGCAGGCTGGAGTAGGTGGAGTACGAGTAGGCTTCAGCAGCAACGTCAATGGTATAGAATTGGCCGCGAGAAGCTAAGGTTCCAACATTGATCATTCGATGAACGTCATCGATTTGGCTCAAGGAGCGAGGAACGCCACGAATGCTAACAAAAGGGGGCAATTCGTCGACGGCAATAAGTGCAGTGACATCCCCATTTGGACGGGTGATGCAAAACTCGGGTGGCATGGCTGCTTGCTGCTTGTTTCCCTCCTGCAGGAAATCTGATAAATTAGGTCGAATGCTAGGAGATTCTTTACTCCGAAAAGACAGAATAACCACAGCAGAAAGAGAGAATAGCGCAAAAGAACAACCGGAATATGTGACATTCAATACAGAGAAGGAAGAGTGGTGTAAAGTGAGAGGGAAGGCTTATGTGAGTATGTACTGTGAGAGATTGAAAAAGCAAAGGAGGACTGAGTTCTTGAGAAGAAAGTAGCCAACCAGTTTCACTACAAGAAAGGAGTGAGTGAGCCTGAGTATCTCCAATATTGCCAAACAAAAGAGACTAAGAGATTGAAGTTCTAGTTGAGATAGAAGAGATCTGTGTTGTCGCTAGTAAAGTGTTAAAAGAATTGAAGAAATCACAATAACACAGAAAGATAGATAAAGTCAAGATAGGGGAGTAAACTACAGTCCTAAATAGAATATAGGTGGAAGAATGATGCAAATCTGCAAGCAATATAACCAGCTCACGCTCTCTTGCCCTCACTCAAAATCCTAGAAGTTTGAAGAGTTGATTTTATAAAAATAAAGAAACAAATACACCAAAAAAGGGTTGATATCTGCTTCATGTACAAAGATTTTATGTGTAAAAAATGAGAAAAACGGTGGAAACTGCATCTCAGCTTCTCCTGTCATGACAAATCTTTGTTCAGATAGACAGAGGCGAGTTTGCCAAAAAATCTTTGTTTCCAAGAGTAGTTTGTCCCAACATTCAACTTACATCTGTCAGTGCGACCAACCCAATCTTTAGCTCTCGGTATCCTGCATTTTCGCGAACAATCAAATATACACTACCATGATAGTGTACCAAAATTGAGAAAATAGAAAAAGTTGCATAGATAGGTCCCTGATTGGGATCGAACAATTCCCTGACCGACATTAGGGGGTATTGAAGATTTGAAAACGGCGTCATGTCATTCGGATCATCCAAGAGAGTGTAAAGATCAAGCAAGATCATACGACTGGATTGAAGACATGCCCTAGGCTCTCCAACACCAACTTTTCATCAAAGAGGTGATAAGGGAAAGACAGGAGAATTTTCATCCTGAATTAAGCATAACGGATGGATCCAACAACCTGTCGTGATCAGCGTGGGTGGGAAACCCGATGACCAATAGCATTTGAAATCAACGAAGCATAGCCCCTCCATGTTATCGGGCTGTCGATTGGAATGGATGATCAGGTATTTCCATTGAAATCCGAAGAAGAAAGTTCGCACAAGCAATGGTCAAGCGAAATTTGTGAAGAAGAAAAGGCCTGATAAGAACACTCACATACCAAATAACATAGAAAGACAAGAGATAATTTCATCCAGGTATGGCAAGCCTGTCTCAGCGTTTCCTTGAATTCTTTCACCCACCACGCGCTTACAGTGACGTACAATAGTATGTACAGTACATGCACCAGGCGGGAGCGGCAGGATGCAATATTATATCCGGCTAGACCATATCTAAGGTGCTAGCAGCATAACATCCGAGACCTACCTTGGGCCATTCCAAGAGTAGAATTAAAGCCCGTTTGGGTCTTCCTAGCCAGAGGCGAAGATGTTAGTATAACCCACAAATATGTAAAAGGAGGGTGAGTCAGACCAGATCGTGTTCCTGACGGTCACAAACAGAAGCGCTGAGATCCGTCCATCCATAGGCATCGGCGCTGGAAAATATCAGTGATTGTTAAAGTACGATTTCAATTGCGGAACAGAATGACCCAGCTAAATTTTGTTACTTCAACCGAAATTTAAATCCGGTGTTAGATTTTCGCGGTCAACAATCCCGACTATTTCATGTGGTTTCTGGCGTTTTCAATGTAATTTTTGTCAGTCGTTGCGCTCGAAGAACATAGAATATCGTCGTAAACCGCCGAGCTTTCGCATCTCAGAATGGCCATGGATATTCAGGCGCTGAAGCGCGTATTGAGGCATCGGCAAAATATATTATATTCAAGAACCCTTCTGTCCGTCAGGTATCGTCGGCTATTCTCTTGTCACACGAGCTTCATTTACGTGTCGTTGGCACCAGTCAATAAACAAATAATCACGTGATATATTGAGGGCTGGTGGTAAATGGCGCAGAGCACGCTTTTGTTTTCCTGAGTTATCGAGAGTTTGATTTTCAAGTGATGAAAAGTTCAACTGTTAAAAGGATTAAAGAATATTAAATCCATCCATCACTTACCCCAAATAAAGCTCAAAATTCCAGTCTAAAGTCAAAACGCCAGAACACTCTACTGATCCTCAAATCTTCCGATGCGCCTCCTAAAAAATGGTAATCACAGAAGACCCTCGTTGAGTGGAAGAAAGCACTCCGTAATCTAAATACAACAACAAATATGAAAAAAAAGAAGGAAACGTGGGATATCGGGGGTAAAAAGGCACAGAACCGTATACCTAACCTGCACTGATATGAAGAGTCTCATGATGGGGGGATAAGGGTAATACGGGTAGCAAGTTTGCGGGTGGTACGCTTGCGGCGGTGATGGTCAAGAAGGATGTGGTGCTGCATTTTGGTCGGTCTGCAATGGAAGTGGTGGGCAAGTTGGTGGATGAGGCGGGTTTACAGCAGCGTTTTGGTTTTGGTGTGATACTGGCGGAGTCTGAGAATGGGAAAGAGAACCTGCAGCATTTTTGTTTTCCTTGACCCTCTTCCTTCTAACAAGGTCGCCCCGAATGCCTCGCAGATACTTAGTGGCCTCATCAACTAAGGTTCGTTGCTCAGGACTCTCTTTGAGGGAGCCAAGCATTAATGCGACCTGAGTCTCTGAATTGAGGTGTGGGCATGTTCTTCCACGTCCATAATGTGCAATTCCACAAATGCCACAGTGTTCCACGCCTGCTAGTTTTAATGGACAGTATCCAGTTGGATGAATTTGATCACAGGCCACACAACGATGCGGCGGATGTGCCATGGGACTTGGTCCGCCGCTCCCATCTGTCATAGTTCCGTTCAATACCAAGCCGACATCAGGGACGTTGATACGTCTGAAAGGTCGTACTACAACCGAGTCAATACCTCCATTGAAGGATCATAAGGAGAAAACAATGGTGTTAGAACTAGTACCTTTCGTAGTGCCACCATCCTCAGAATTCTTTTGATTATCCGTTTTGGGAGTTTCACCAGCAAAGTCACCATCAGTTTCAGCATCCTCCGTATCAGATTCTGGACCGAACGATTGAAATTCTGCATCAGTATCATCCTTTCTTCCACCTTTCGGGGACGAGTTCAAGTTCTGATCTTGAACTGCATAGTCAACAGTCTGACGCTTTCGTTTTCCTCGACCTAAAGTTTGAGAGTTGGTCTTTGCTTCTTCTGCTGCTATACGTTCGCGTTCTTGTAAAATCTTATTCCACACTGTGTCAGTTGGAGTTGCAGTTTCTGAAGTGCCCAACTTGTCCGATAGAGTCCCATTAACCCACACCCTAGCAAAGCTGAACTGGGACTCCGCAGATCCGTCATCACCAGTATTGGTGTTCTCTATTTGGCTTCGGTCGAGGAGTTTTTCAATTGACTCGTTATCGTATTGAATATCATCAGTGGCATTATCTTCGAAGAGGGCGTCGGCTCCATGGCGAAGAATGGCCTCCAAATCAACCTCTGTGTCATCCTCCGCATCCATATGTTCAATCAAAACTTGATCCAAAGCCAATTTCTTCTTCCCGATTTGCATAATTTTTTCTTCGGCGGATGCCTTCGTCACCAACTGGAAAACAAGCACTTTCTTCTGTTGACCAATCCGATGTGCTCTGGATAAAGCTTGAATATCCTGATGCGGATTGAAGTCGGGGTCCATGATGATTACTGTGTCAGCCGTTGCTAGATTAATACCAACACCACCGGATCTGGTTGATAACAAAAATGCAAAGTATGGCGAATCGGGGGCGTTATAGTCATCAATCTGCTTTTGCTTTTGAAGAGAAGTCATGGACCCATCAAGCCGGCGGTGTAGAAGGCCCAGGCCGTCAAGAAAATCTTCAATTACATCCAGGTTATCCAGGAATTGGCTGAAGATTAAGACGCGATGGCCCCTCTCTTGCAATTTCGGCACGAGCATTTCCAATAACTGGAGTTTTGATGATGCTTCCACCAGATTTCTATGGGACAGAGCTGCGTTTACAGTTCTCTCTTCTATCGCTTTAGAGTAAACGAATGGGTGACACAAACATTTTCTAAGTTGCATTAAAATATTGTTCAGATTGTGTCGTTCGGTTTGTTTTAAGGTACTTCCTGGATCTCTCTTGAAAATCGCTTTGATCAGTTGTGGGTTTTTGGCCAAAATAGATTTGTACAACTTTTTCTGTACGACACTCATTGTAACTGGTAGAATGATCTGCGCCATGGGCGGGAGAAATGTCAGGACCTGAGCTTTTGTTCGACGGAGAAAATAGGGCCGGAGCATGTCATGCAGTTCAGCCAGCGTTTCCTTCGTAAAATCCCCTCCGTATTGCTGTTCGAGAGCTTCAGCATTCTTAGAGGGATCGCAGAATTGGATGATATTGAACAATTCGCGAATATTGTTTTGAAGGGGCGTTCCGGTAAGAAGAACCTTGAAAGGGAAGTTGATACGTGTCAAAGCCTCGTATAGCTGATTTTTGTCATTCTTCAAGCGCTGACCTTCATCGACAACCAATCCAGCCCATGGAATCTTCGAAAACAGCCGCTTCACCTTATCGTCAATCATTGCGTCATATGAAGTAACCACAATATGGCATCGAAGATCTGATGTGCCATCGGGAAACATCTCATAATCATGCGCTATTTTTCTTGCGGCAGACGAGCCGTAATAAGTTACGACTCGCAGGGAGGGTGCCCAAGTCTTTATTTCCCGACGCCAATTGGGACACGTCGAATTTGGGACAACGACAAGGAAGGGCCAGCACCTATGGTCATGGATGAGCGTCGCAAAAAGTGCAATTATTTGAATCGTCTTTCCCAGTCCCATCTCGTCGGCTAGTATAGCATTTTGTTCTTTGTACCACATGTAGTATAACCAGTTCAAGCCGTCTTTTTGATATTCCATGATCTGTCCACCTGTTAACAATGTTGGCTGGGTCTGCTTTACGAGCTGCGTAGCAAAATCCCGGGATCGAACGTTAGCCAAATTCTTTTTTAAGATATGGCTTTTTGGCACATGGACATGTTTCCCAGCAACCCAATCTTTGTAGGCCAATTGATAATCATGCCAGCGTTCTGTCTCTTCTGGTGATGGGATTGTTTCCCAAACAGCTTCCTCATACGACAGACCCTTGTACTTGGCATAAATTCTGGATACTTCATTAGATCGGGCCAGGTCAATCTCGTAAGTCGAATTGCTGACGACATTTGAGTATTCAAGGTCGAAAATTATGTCCACACGTAGAAACTCCTCTGGAATGGCATCCTCCTTTGTCATTATAGGTTTTAGGGACTTCGAAGATTTGCTAAATGCTTTCCTGCTTGGTGCAGCAGCGATGGCCCAAACCCAGGCACCGGGCATCCACGTGGTCTGAAAGTACGACTTTTTCTGCCATTTTATTAAGTATTCTTTGGAGGTCTCCTCAAGCATATCTGACGTATAGCCTGGAACAAAACTATCCAGGTCAACGGGTCGCCAAGCGACGATAGATTCTATTGGACCTGGCATGTTGACGCAGTCCTCACACAAAAATCGGCCAGAATATTCTTTGAATCTTTGTTCGCCATCGCCTTCGTTGTCGCTCTCCCCGATGACATGGGTAAAACTTCGACCCCTGGGTGGAAGATGATTCATGTGCCATGCACGCTCACATGAAGCACATCGAAACATTATATTATCTACACTATATAAGGGGATATCAACATCAACGATAGGATCAGAGCCACTGTTGTCTTCCCTTAGTAATTGTTCCTCGCGTGCTGTCATTCGTGATCTCAACGGTTTCGATAATGGACTGAGTTTGTGGCACTGAGTGCAAGCCCCTTGATGAGGAGCAAGGGCATCTTTTGTGTGAGCGGAGCCTAAACAGCGGCGGCACTGTAGAATAAAATCATCTTCCCCAACCTTAGTTACTAAGTGCTCTCTTTGAATGCGAGGTCCAAGACATTTCTGGTGATAAGCTGCTGTGCACCCTTGGCAAAATACAAGATGACCCTTTTCGAAGTCAACGGCGTGACAGGTGTTACACAGCTGTTGATGATGTGTCCGGAAGGGATCCTCTTTCGGGATCTTCTTAAAGATTTCCTTTGTAGCCGAATATTTCACACCGGATGGCGTATTCTCGGCTTCAGATATGTCATCTTCTAAGCGCTCTGCCATGCTCTTCAACGATTTCACTCTCTGTGATGACCGAACCCCAAGTTGAACAGGTTTAGAATTTTCAAGTTTGTATGACTTGGGACGTCGTCCGGTTCCTATAGGTTGTCGTCGTCCCCGTTTTCTAGGTTTATCTTCAATAAAAGACTCTATCGATTCATCGTCACTGCTCTCTGAGCTCAGAGGGGCGGAGGACTGGACTAGACGACTGGAGCGTCTAGTCGGGAATGTGTCGTTAACAGTGTCGTTAGCAGTGTCAGAAGTGTTGCCCCTTCGAATCAAACGGCGTTTAGAAGCCCTAACAGGCCTTGTCATCGGTCTGGCCAATGGGTCATCATCTGAAGACAATTCGAGAGTTGTGGAATTAACATAGAAGCTATCCCTTTGAGGCTGCGTTCTCCCTGAGTGCCGGCGGAGAGCGACCATGTCTTCATCTTTGAAGGAATCGCTGCGTTCCCTAGAACTGCGGGATCCTAGTTGGTTAAACAAGAAGAGTGCGCTGCGTCCGTTTTGAAGTTTGCGAACATAGCTATCAGATAACTAAGTAACGAAGTTATGAGCAGGGCAGCCAACAAAAGAGTAAAGATAGGTAAGAAGAGAGTTCCCACAGTTAAAATGTCACCGCTTGCCATCCTAGTAAAGTAACTCACTGGACCTGAACCGTTGACCGTATCAAGGATTTCTTCGACTTCCGAATGACTGGGTAGGAATTTATATTCATCATCGTTTTCGATCGTTGGGACTGTGATATGGAATATCTGTTGGCTAGTTTCAGGATCGGGAGACTCAGGTTTTTGATTCAAATTGACCACAGTGAATTGACTGGGAATATTCGCCGCCAGAGACAGATCGTCTGCGCTTTCGATATGTTGGACATCGCTGTGGATGTCCATAGCTTCGGTATTGCGGGGAATTGCCGGGCACAAAGAGATGAGCTCGTTTCCTCGCATGCGTGCATCGCTGCTGAACCCCAACCCAGCTGCGCAAAAATGGTAAAGGGACAACGCCTCTGTAGTCGGTCTCTGCGAGCTGGTGAGAACAAAAGGGCAGAAGGTTCGAAGATCACAAGGAGGAGATTGGCGCTAAACCCGATTTGGGTATGGTTCCGGAAAAATGGAAAATCCGACGTCAGATCGGCTTTAATTGAACAACACAGCTCTGATCTGCTTAGAATCTAGCGAGCATACCTTGAACAGATAATCCAACGTGAATCTTAAATTCTATGTCCATTAACAGCTGCAATTCCCTTCTGCATCTGCACATAGTGGAGTTATGCTCAACCGTCAGGGCAATGCACTGCTGAAATTGCATCGGATATGCTTTTTCGGCTTTCCTGAACAGAACTGTGCTGAAGGTATAAGGCATGCTTCGATAAATTCAGCAATCCTAAAAGGCATATACACCTCGCGCAACTCTTATGTGAGCAAGGAGAGCAGAGAGAGCCGCTACAAGCCAAGCTGGATACAGCGCGGTAGCCAAGGGAAATCTCGAAAAAGGCACGATGAACAGACTCCCAGGGATGGCTCCAATTCTTCTAGCTCTAGGAGTCTCGTGGGGTTTGTGGGACGACCACATGAATCTGGGTCCTCCTGGTCAAATCATGAAACTCTGGAGGGAAGAATTAGCTCACGCAGCTTTTCACCAAACAACGACAGGACACGGCGGGAATGGCGCGATACCCCGCGTAGACGCCGAAATCTAGATGAGGACCTGCCTGCCGGTGATGGACCTGACTTCTCACGCCGAAAGACTCACCGTGAGCGTTATGCCCAGAGAGTGGCAGAGCCAGGAGAACAATCTGCATTTGAGTTAAAAAGGCCTGCGCATACACAGCCTCATATTTCCATCACCGCCCCAAAATCAATTCCCTACACAACAGCAGCTTCTGAATTTATATATGGCGCATCGGCCGTATTAGCTGCTTTGCGATGTGGCCGCCGCAAGCTCTACAAGCTTTACATCTACGAGACTCCCGATAAAGTCTCACTCCGATTGGGAAGGAATCCGACGCGAGAACCTATGTTTGATACAATAATTAAATTTGGATTAGCTGCCGGTGTCTGTGTCAAACAAGTGGCTGGGAATTGGCCTAAGTTGTTGGATAAAATGAGTGGTGGAAGGCCGCATAATGGTTGTATCTTGGAGGCGTCACAACTCCCCAAGCTGCCAGTCGATAGCCTCCTCCCTGTGTTGTCTCCCTCAGAGACTCACTTTAATGCCTCAGTTTGTCAGCAATCAGCAGAGGAGGCGGAAGTCAATGGTACGAGTGGACGCATTCCTCGAGCAGGGTATAGGGATGAAAACTCTCCTCTGGCAGAGAATCTGATTATGCCCACTCGTTACCCTTTCGCTCTATTTTTAGATGGAATCCGTGATCCAGGAAATGTAGGCGCTATTATCCGGAGCGCATACTATTTTGGCGTGGACGCTGTCATCGTTTCAACGCGAAGCAGCGCCCCGATATCAGCTGTCGCCATCAAGGCATCCGCAGGCGCTGCAGAAAACATTCCAATTCTTACAACCACCAACCCAACCCTCTTTGTGAAAAGCTCCCACACAAACGGCTGGAAATTTTTTGCGGCTGAAGCCCCCGCCGCTGCCAATGCGTCCCAACAAACTCTAGAGGCACCCACGGAGCAAGTCCTCAGCCGGCGAGAAGTGAGTACTAAGCTTAACGAGGCACCTTGCGTCCTGATGCTTGGCAGTGAAGAGCAGGGCTTGCCGAGAAGTATACGGCAACAGGCTGATGGCGCTGTAGTTATACCGGGCGCTATCACAGCGAGCAACGTTGAAGATCGTGCGGGAGTCGATAGTTTAAATGTCAGTGTTGCTTCGGCATTGCTGTGTGAGGCATTCCTGGGTGATCCTTCTTCTAATAAACAGGACTCCACTCCAGCTGAGGAGGCTTTGATGTCAACGGTCGATATGATCCGCGAGGAGGCGAAGGATGATCCTAATAAGATGTTTTGACAAATTGGTGGGATTCTTGTGGATCGCATTATTTAAGAATTATGCACTCCTTTCCTTCCACCCTCCCACTGACTTTGGTTACTCTGGCGGAGTTTTGTTCCTGTCAATACATTCTGCTAGTGCTGCTGGTGCATCCTACCAGCACGTACACGTACATGTATAATTATACTAAGTGAATTTGTTGCTTTATTGCGTTTGTTCAATCTACTCCACGTGGAACGGGATACCGATAAATATATGACTTCAGAGTTTATTTAACTTTTCCCCAGTCTGGGTTCACTTGCAAAACTATCATTTCCTAGAATACCCCAACGATCCCTCTTACTGCGGGATCAACAATGGCTGCTTCTCAATTAGTTTCCCCTGCATACCCCTTGAGCATGGCAGTAGATCTCTATAGATAGGCGGGGCCACCAAATTACAAACAGGCCGGCGATAGGCTTGAGTACGGCTGAGCATACGGTGAGCCTTATTTCCCGCTCCCTATGTTCGTATCTGATCCTCATTGAGAATCAATTAATGGGGATACCCTTTCATCCAATGTCCATCCTGTTTTGTTGGGCTCCCACGGCCAATACGGTGCCTCAATACAGCCATTTTTGGAATCACTGGTTGGTTCAAAGGCCGAAGGATTCGGATTTCTGGCGAACGGGATGATATTTTGCTTCTGATGTCCCAATCAGAGAACATTTGTAAAAGGCAAACACCTGGCGGAGAAATTGAAAAGGAAGTACAATAATTCAACAGAGTATTGACAAGGGGATGTACAAGATTCTAGAGGTACATAAATCCAATTTTTCATAAAACCTATCTGAATAGCCTGCCTCCTTTTGTATTTCACTATTAGAAACCATAAAATATTACTCAATAGAGCATAAATAAAATGGGGAATAGGGAGAAAAATAGTAGAAGCCCATAGCGATTGATAAACTATTAGATGCCCCCAACAAAAGAAACAGGTGACAAAAATTCACCATTTCCTCCCCCATTTCTCATAAACAACAGAAGAGAATTGACAATGGTTGCCAATATTTTCAGATCACGACCATTTCTTAATATAACGCCGGCAACCTACAAAAGCTTCAGAGTAATCCAATCAATGTACACGCCTTCTAAAAGGAAAATAAAACGACGCCCGATAAATAACCACCTCACGATAGAGTCATCCCCGTAAATAAAAAGTAAATAAAAAAGAAGCCATAGAGTGATGTGATTTTTTCTCTTATTTCTTTTTCCCCTTGGATTTGCTGGTGGCGGGAGTGCTTGACGAGACGCTGGCGGCTCTTGATGTTGCAGTTGATGTCGCTCTGCTGCCACTAGCGGATTGGACGGCCTTAAGCTGTTTGTTCTGCAGATGAAAATTATCGACTGGTTAGATGTTTATAGCGGTAAAACGGGTGAATTATTATGATCATTCAAGAACTTACTACTACACCGTTTTTAGTTTTCTTCTTCGCAGGGGCTTCCATATCTTCATTCTCCACGTCGTCCTCACGATCACGAACACGGCCTTTACCACCACTATCGCCATTGGGAGCTTTGCCATCCACTTCAAATTCCTTCGCGACGGTGTTTAACAGGGTCGTACATCGGCGACCAATCTCAACGGGAGTGCGGCTAAGGAAGAACCAGTCGAATCTGAAGAGGGGGCTTTCCCTGATTTCCTCTCGAATCTTCTCATAGAGACCCTCGCCATCGACGCCATGTCTATCAAGCATCACAAGCAAGAATCTATCTTCCTCTTCAGTGTATACCTTCTTGTTTGTCGTGGAGACGGTGTAGTTAACTTTTAGTTGTTGGAGGGGAACGCGGTACATCTCCATTTTCTTGCGAAGCATCTTGCGCTGGTGGTTCATTTTGCGCATCTTTTCTTCACCCTGCTCAATGACACGAATATGTTTGGGGTAATCTTGAATTTCCGTATAGCGCTTCCAGAAAACCTTTGCGTACTCCTTGATCTCGTCTGGGTCTTTGCTGTCCACTTCTGTAGCGATCTCCGTATAATTAGTACGTCCAAATTTTGCAGATCCGTTGATAAATTGTTGAAAGTCTCTTCGATTCCAATGCCCAAAGCCTTCTTCGGACAGCGCAGCCTTTTCATCCTGTTCCTCTTCCGTTAACGGAACAGCATTGTCGATTTCCTGTTGTTCCAATTCTCGCTCAGCCTCCCTGTCACTAAGCTCCTCCTCAGGACCATCCGGCAGAATAGCTTTATACCCAATCTCTTTATGAAAATAGGCAGTTTCCTTCTCCTGCAGTTCCTGGAGCTTAGGCGGGAAAAACTGCCAGTCATGGATTGCGATTTGTTTCGGGGCGCGGGGAACTTTTGGTTTAGGATCAGCCGTCCTTCCTCCAGTAGCCAGTGCCTGTCGATAGTACTGGTCCATCGAGTAGGACTGTTCTTTCCGTTCACGTTTGGCGGGATTGATCCAATTAATACCGATGTCCTTCTTTCGATTTGTAAAGTCTTCTCCATTCCACTCATACGCATTATCTGATGTGAACTTCTGAAGATCGTCTATTCCAAGTTTCTCGTACTTTTTATTTAGTTCGGCCGTGCGTTCTTCGCCTTTTTTCAAAATTTCGTCGATATCATCTTCCGAAATGTCATTGCCCTTCGCCAAAACTCCAGTTGCGCCCTTAGTATTAAACACGCTGGCAGCGCCATGCTGGATCATACTCAATAGCTCATCTTTGGAAGCAGCGCTTTTTGCTTGCTGTTGAGCACGACCTTGTTGAATAACTAGTTGGTCAAGCCTCAATTTTTGCGCTGCACGCTTAAGCACCTTTTCTTCAATGGCATTTTCAGTCACAAAACGGAAAACAACAACTTGTTTGGTTTGTCCAATACGATGGGCACGGTCCATGGCTTGTAAATCTGCCTGGGGGTTCCAGTCGCTGTCATACAGGATGACAATATCAGCGCTCGTTAGATTGATTCCTAGACCACCAGCCCTCGTAGTAAGGAGAAAAATAAATTTTTCAGACCCGGGACGATTGTACTCGTCAATTGCAGCAATACGATCCTCGTGAGCGGTGGAACCGTCGATTCGACAATATTGATGTTCCCGGAAAACGCAGTAATCTTCCAAAATATCAAGAACACGGCTCATCTGGGAGAAAATCAAGACTCGACTTCCCTGGTTCTTCATTCGCTTCAGGATTTTGTCTAGAATCACCATTTTACCAGCATTATCGATCAGATGCTCATCGGTGGTATAAGGCGGCCCGGGTTCAGCACCTTCAAAAAGGTAGGGGTGGTTACAGCATTTTCTCAGTTGCATCACGATGTTAAGAAGACGAGTCTTTGATTCGCGTTTCCCTTGCGCCCCATTGACAGCGTCGATATCCTTTTCGAGGATTTTCTGGTACCATTTCACCTGCATATCAGACATGCCGACATACAAGTTCATTTCCTTTTTTGGAAGCAAACTCTTTTCGACATCGCTCTTGACTCGACGAAGCAAAAAGGGCCGAAGAACACGGTGAAGTTGCTGGACCACCGTGTCCTGATCTGCTTCCTGGTTAGAGAACCACTGGTTAAATGCTTCGGAATCGCCAAACACATCAGGTAAAAGGAAATTTAGAAGAGCCCAGAGTTCGAGGAGATTATTCTGTAGCGGTGTTCCCGTTATTAGGAGTCGATTTCTCGAGTGGAAAACGCGAATGATTTGAGCCAGGGAGGATTCTTCATTTTTTATCCGATGTGCCTCATCAATAATGATATATTCCCAGGCGAATTTTTTCAGATGCGATTTCTCCCTTAGAACCATCTCGTAGCTGGTGATACAAACATCGAACTTCTCGTCAACGAGTCGTTCATTGATAAGCTTGTGGCGGTCGTCTTTCGCTCCCTGGAGCACGAGAACGTTGACATCGGGAGTCCACTTTGCGAATTCTCTATTCCAGTTATCGAGAGTGGATTTCGGAACAGTAATAAGATGAGGGCCGGTTATGCCGCATATGTGCCTTAGGTAACCCAAAAATGCGATTGTTTGCAATGTTTTCCCTAGACCCATCTCGTCGGCTAGGATACCGGAAATACCATTTTCGTGTAGAGAAACAAGCCAGTTTAGCCCAGCGACCTGGTAGTCCCTCATTTCTCCTCCCTTAATAAATGTGGGTGATTCACGAAAAACCGTCTCCGACTTGCCACCACGTTTCTCATCTTTCAACAGTTCTGCATCCTCTTCCTGTTCCGTTCGCCGGCGTCGTTCCCCACTGGCACCGCCCTTGCGTGTGGAACCTTTCCTGGCACTTGCCTCTGCTTCATTTTGGCGGTCAATCTCCGCCATAATTTCTTTTATGCGGGGATTCGGGTTGGTTTCAATAAAGTGGCGGAAGAGGTCAGTTAAACCGAGCAGGTATCGAAATCTTCGAATCGAATCATCTTCCTAAATATGGAGTTAATATATTTCCAATGTGAAGGAGATTGATTGTACAAAAGAGTGATTTACGGGGTGTGGGGTGGGGATAATGTTGCTTGGCGACAAACCTTTGATTCATCAAGACGACCGTGCTTTCGGCCCAGCACACTTTTCCGGAGCTGGAAGGCCTCTGATCTCCGCTTGCGCCCGTCTTGTTGAGCTAAATCGCCGGCAATGCTACTTGCAGTTGTGTTTGGGTTGGTATCAGAATCCTGCAAAAAGTAATTAGAGTTTGTGGGGTTGTGTATTTCGTGGGGTGTATAAATTGCGCGCGGGTTCCATACCGTGTAATCTGGTGTGTCCTGATAGTCCTGGTAGATTCTTTGTTAGCGTTCTGTCCAACTGAAATGGCTTAACGAAACCAATATAAAAGACAGTGGACCAGGGAGGTAGTAAAAGTTACCGTCATGCTGTGATCTTCATTTTGATTTCCTATGCTAGTTTTGGAGGGATATCCATTGGCATCTTCCATGGGGGTATCTGCCTGGGGCGGGGACTCTGACCCAGACAGATGGGAGACTGAAGGGGCCATATTTGTGAAGGGGTCGGACAGGACGGCCTCAAGACTGAAACAGGCAATATTGAAGACTTAGACGCGTTTAAAGAAAACCTCAAAGCAGCATGCGACGAGACAAGGAAACAAGCCGATGTACAGAGATGGAAACAAAACGTGCGAGTGGCCGTGGCTGGGAGGTCTCATGTCGTGGGCCAGAGAGTGTCGTCGCGATTGAAGATGGCAAAAGGTTGAATGAAGTTTGTACTGCTGCAGAAAGGAATCGCGTAAAGAGGCTCAAAACCTGTCGCCATTCACCCGCGCCGATTGGCCAGGGGCTTGCTGACTCAGTGCTCGGGACCGGGAATTGTTTGGGCGCTCTCAAGGGACGGAACAATTATACTCCATGCCAAGCCGGGCCACCAAGCACAGCGCAACCATAAACCAGGGCAATGACCTTGCTGGCGCAAAAAGATCGAGAAACATCGACGGAGTCAGTCCCCACTCGGTTACATACAAACTATTCCTGACCTACCGACTACCACTGACTACCACTGACCCGCATCTCTTGTTGCACATCTCTGAGAACCTATCCATGCCCGTTGTTGCAGCGTCTAGTTCTCACCCGCTCCGCTTGAGCTAATTACCCAAACTATTATTTTATCATCCACTTGGTGGTCTCCTGAAGATAACGCCCCCTGCAACGAGGGGTTATTTTTGGAGCAACAAACCACTCTTAAATATAATCTGGCAACCTCTTCTGCCGCACTGCCAACCACAGGTACTTAGCCATGGATTCTATGAGATCTCTTAATACCTCTCTACCTACATCTTCTCCTCGTCCAAACAATGCACAGCCCCCCGAACAGCTGCTGCAAGCCTTCAAGACAGCTGCTCTATCTGTGACAAACCTCTACAAAACCGCCGTTTCCGACCAAGCCAGTGCTCGCCATATTGGATACCAAGAAGCCTTGGAAGACCTTCGAGCGTTTCTTGAAAAGGAAAAAATCGGGTTAAATGATGGAGAGGGGTTGAAAGTGAAATGTTGGGTGACAGATAAGCTAGATGGCAGCGCTGCCACTTCAATGGATAGTGACGATGAACGAGCCGACCTGGACATCAAAAGAAGTCGGAGTATATCGCCAACTACCGCGAGAAAGGAGAGCCCGGAGGTTAATCACACAAGTCAAGCATCCAGATCGACCCCCCCTCCCCGCAATGAAGCCAATTTTCACAATCAATCTTCGGTAGCGATAGACCTCCCCTCTTCAAACAGACCAACCACATTTACCTTTACTACTGGGTCTTCCTACCCGGTGCCCCAGCAATCCGATATTGATATGCAAACATCCGATCATGTACCCGTAACTACGACTTCCATACAAACCGACTCCCACCTACCGCACTCTTCGACTCTGAGTAGCTCCCCGACCGTCAGGGTTGAAGTTGTTCCTCGAGGCTCCAGAGTGCCTCACCGACTCAACAATGGCAATCGACACAATCCACGAGCGTCTGCGCGAGATCCCTCATCGAATACCGGGACCAAGAGAAAATTCCATTTTGGCGACTTTTTTGACATCTCGAGTCTTGGGAATGGACGGGATGCCTTTGGAGGAGCGAAGCGAGGTCGTTTTATATAAGGGACTTTACTTAATTTATTGGAGGGGATGGGATGGAGTGACAGGTGAATTCTTGTGATTTTCTTTTTCTTTTCTCCACCCCCCATTCCCCCCTCTCCCTTTTTTTTTTTTTTTTTTTTTTTTTTTTTTTGGTTCGCTTGTTATCCTTTCCCTTGCGTTTTCTCCTTTCTCATTGCAACAGCCAGTCATTGGTGGTACGGTGGCGATTAGAAGCATTCACGGAGTCAATAGTCTAGCATTTTCATACTTTACATAGATAGCATCCGATCAAAACACCCATGATCAGATGTTTTTCATTCTGATGATTTTTATATATTAATGTATTCCCCCTCCTCCCCGAGCCGTAAGTGTTCCTTTGAGACTTTAGCGAGACAAGAAAATTTGTGATATTCGAGAATAATGTTGGTCATCATTCTTGCGGTCATCAAGCACCACTACCTGACGGAGTCCAATAATGCAAACTGGGTATCACTTTTCTTCCTTTTTATGATTTAGTGGAGCGCCCTCCAGATTCCCATTCCCACCAACGTCACCGATATCGTCGCTATACCAAGGCGCCGGGAACCCATCTTATATGGTGATTTGCTTTTCAAGATAACTTTTTCCTGTTTCTTGAGATTGTTCACGCCGGACACATAGCTATACACTCCAAGCCCAATGAAGGCCAAACTTCCTATATAGGTAAGGCACGCCTCGCATTAGATTAACGGTATATTGAGAAAATACTTATACGTTGTCGGGGGTAGTTGTGGTGATATTTTCGTACCTGTGATTTTGCAGGCAAGACAGTCATTCTCGTATTTTCCCTTGGCAATGGCTCTCTTCATATCCTTGGGATTTATATCCCAGGCAGTGTCCTCTTTAGGCATGACAGCAACGTAAACTAAAACTCAGAGGGATCGGGAAGTGTCTCCAGTCATGTCAGCACTTCTTGCGGGCTTTTGCTTCTAGGTTCGTTCTCAAAGTTAGCAGGCCCATTGTGTATATAGAAATTGACAGTACACCTGTAACCAAAGCTATGCAGGGAACTGGATTATATATCATTCATCATGAAACTTACCAAAGAGACCTCACTCGCAGCTGGCTCCATAAGCCCCAAAAGATCTCACTTTTCCCCCGTTGACTTTCCCCCAATAGGGGACGCTACCGACCGACTATTAGGGTTTAGCGCCAATAGTTGCGATGTTACATAATCAGCGATTCCTTGACGTCGCTGTCCCGCATTCCGCATCGGAGAAAATTGCCGCATAACTAGTTATTGAACCAGAACCGCTGAATCAAGCTGCTCGCAACAATGAACAGCGCCGTAGAAGCGCTTTATGTATTTGATGAACTGAAGTAAGTGATTGAAATTAAAGTACAGCTAAATAAACTGCAGCTTTTTGTTAACTTAGCAAAATCGAATGCAGCGGTCCTATCCTCGAGCACATCTATCGCGGTCGCCCTCTCGCCGCAACATCTTTGCTCTCCTTATTCCTTGCCCATCCAAGCCCACGCCCATCACTACTCTACCTCCCCGACGCCTCACCCCCAGTGTCCGTCTTTTCAGTAGTTCATTCAAATCTGCTCTTTCTTGTCCCGTCCAGCACAGAGAGCCAACCTCTCCTTGTCCTCGAATTCCTTCACCGCGTTATCGATGTGCTAGAAGAATTCGTTGGCGCCCCGCTCCTAGCGGGGAAGATTCAGAGCAATTATGACGTTGTCGCGCAACTGTTGAATGAAATGTGTGATGGTGGCATTGTCTGCAATACTGAACCGAATGCGCTACAGGAGACTGTTGAGGTCCCGGGATGGATGGACAAGCTGCTTGGAGGGGTTGGATTGCCAAGGTGAATAATATATATAACACCCTTTTAACATCTGCGAAGATTTTCTAAGCTAATCACAGACGTGTGGTCAACATACAAACAGTGCTTCTCCCTCACTTGGTCCATCAAATTCGCTAAAATCATCTCTTGCCGCTTCAGCGAATGCAAATGGAGCGTCTGCAGTTGCTATCCCATGGCGGCGGCAGGGGGTCCGGCATACATCTAATGAACTGTATGTTGATGTGGTAGAGTCGTTATCTGTTACAATGGCTCCTTCTGGGAGACCAATTTCAGCACTTGTGTATGGGACTATTGTCTTCACTGCGAAAATCTCAGGAGTACCCGATCTATTACTCTCCCTTGGCGCTCCTGGAGGCAAGGCAAATATAAGCCATAAGTTTCAGCTTCCCGTATTCCATCCCTGTGTTCGACTTGCGCGATGGAGGGAAAACCCGGGGGACCTTAGTTTCGTCCCACCCGATGGTCGTTTCGTGCTTGCAGGATATGAAGTGGACCTACTCCCAATCCAGCCTGACGAAGATAAACCACCAGCCCACATGGAAAAGCTATTCTTACCTGCCACAGTAGATCTGCAAAGGTCCCTTGGCCCAACCGGTGCAGATTTCGAGGTCCGACTCACCCTCAATACCAATTTCCCCGGAGTATTACCAGGCCGTGGCTCAGGCACGTCAACCCCTTCATTCCTTGGGGTAAACTATAGCTCCTCGTCCATCTCCCCAACAATAGAAGAAGTAACCGTTATCGTTCCCATCTCCCCCTCCGTCCGGAACCTTACCGATCTCCGCCCCAGCCGTGGCGAAGCACACTTTACCCCGGGTAGCAACACACTCGAATGGCGCGTTCCCACCACCAGCAAAGATGCAGGAAGCATATCCGGCACTGCGACGCTAAGATGTACCATCGTCGGACCCCTCTCATCAGCACAAATCAACAACGGCGGTAACGACTATGAACCCGAATCAATCCTCTCCTCCACAGACAGGGCATATCGCACAAACCCGCTAATCGGCTATTATGACGACACCCTTGCGAACACACAGGAAAGTAGCTATCAGATACAAGACGATACGTCCACGCCCTCAAAACCGTGCCACCCACCACCAAGTCTGGAAGGCTCAACGACGCCTGTCGACCGTGCACGAAAGTCTCAGATGGCCTCCCTGATGCCTTCTTCTGTCTCTGTATCCTTTACGGTGCGCGGATGGCTACCTAGCGGGATACGGGTTGAGGGACTGGTGGTTGATACGCGGAGGAGCCGGGGGTTGGGGGAAGGGGTTAAGCCATATAAGGGGGTTAAGTATATATGTGTGAGTCGGAGGGGGGTGGAGAAGAGGTGCTGAGATTTCAAGAAAGTGGGGTATGACATTTCCCCCTTGAAAATACCATTATTTCTTGTTATCCTTAGGGGGGTGAAAACAGGTTATTTTGTTTTTTGCTCTTGTTCTTTTTCTGATTGGCGGTGTGAAATGGAATGGAATGGGATTGGGACTAGGCTGGGATATTCTTTGATTTTTTTTTTTTTTGATTTTTTTTATTTTTTTTTTTTGCTTTTTCTCTTCATGAACCCTGAGAGAGAGAACCATGTGCTATTTGATTGTGCTCCCTGCCTGCATTGGTAACGTATACACATGCAATAGCACGTTCTTATCCATGGGATATTCATATGTGCATATATATATCGATTTCATTTACGCATCTCTTCAGGAATCCTCGCCGTCCTGGTACTACCAAAAGACTTCATAGTCGACAACCTCGGATTGATTAGGGTTATCCATTCTCTCCCCTACTCTTCTCTCCTGAGGTTCCCCTATTGATATTTTTCTTTGTTCCTTTCCAAATATAAACCCTACCAGATTTAAATTCATATTCATTTTCGTAACTAAGTTGCTATATACAGTGCACCCCAACAAGAAGAGCCAAACGAGTTAAACGTGAACTGGGTGGAGACGGCAACAAAAAAAAAGGGGGGGGCATTAGGAGGGAAAGTTCACAAAATAAATGTCAGTTTAACGGGGTTTCATCAAATAAGGATAAGTACATGTAAAATGCACAAATACAGTGCGCAGCAAAAGCAAATAAATACAAAATAAAATATTGGGAACAAATGGACAGAGAGACATTTTCCCACCAATTTTGAAACTTGAAGTTATGGTTTGAGTCTTGTTGCTTCTCGCTAGATTTCCGTACCTTCTTCGTATAGGATACGAAGAAGCGGGGTCATATATTCTCTTTGAATATAATAAAATACCATGGATCGAGATATTGAAATCGTTTCCTGGTTGATGTTAGAATTGGGCGGAAATCCCCGGAAGAACGAATCAATATGTTACAGAGTATTTATTTAGAGCTTAGCGCTGCGTTTGACGAAGTAATTCAGAGCAATAGCTGCTATAAAAACTTGTAAGTAAAGGCGATTGTTAAACGTTGAGGGGGAAAAAAGTATTCTCATTGGTCAGGGTGTGTACGCATAAGGGTATCATTGAAATTGAAAAGCAAGGCAGGAATCGAATTGGATTGATATATCAATGACAAACAAAGAATGGGTATTCAACAGGAGGGAGAGGTGGGGGGAGGGTTGGAATTACATGTCCAGGGGATTTTAAAAAGGGGGGAAATCGATACAGAGAGAAGAAATTATGGATAAGGGGAATCGGGAAAACATGAACGACGAGGTAAAACGGGAGACCAAAAATTAAGAATAAGGGGCAGTCTAGGATGCGGCATTCGGCTCTGTGTCCATTTGAATAACACAAACAAGTCGGCATACATGTAGTAAGGATTGAAAGGATATCCGGTGACGTGTTGTATGGAGAGGGTTGTAGATAACAAAATGGAATATCCAGATGAGATAAAGAGAACTGATATACTAACCGATAGCTGCAACGGCTGCACGGCTTGCTCCCGACTTATTAGCTCCTCCGCCAAACGTGGCGAACCACACGATCCAACCCAGAAGGCCGATAGTCGTTTGTCCATTCCGATTAAAATTGGGCGCTAGAGTGCTAGTCTTGAGGGTCTTGTTCAACTTGCCCGCATAGGGAGGGTATCGAATGGTGAGAGCACGCTCGATCCAGCCGGGCGTGGAAGCGATTGAACGTCGGTGTACAAAGGCATCGAAGCTACTTCGCCCATGGTAGCAGCCCGTTCCACTCTCACCAACGCCGCCGAAGGGCAAGTTGGGAATGCTGGCGTGCATGAATGAATCGTTGATCGAAGCGCCCCCGGAGCGGACGGAGGAGAGAACTGTGGAATTTGAGAGTTGGTATTTCTATATTTAGAATTTTGCAGGAGGGAGCTAGGAAACCGGATGAAGAAAAGAATTTTTACTCACCTTTCTCGACTTCTTGTTTGGTTCCAAATGGATAGAGGGCCAGCGGAGTGCTGTCGACATTATTTGCGATTTTGATGGCTTCGTCGAGATCGCCTACAGGCAAAAGTGTAATGACGGGACCGAAAGTCTCCTGTTGGATGAGTGGATCATCAACGGAATCAACCTGGATCAAGGTGGGTTCTATAAAGCGTTCCTTTTCATCCATAGTGCCCCCGAGGAGAATCTTGCCTTTGGTTGAATCGATCAGGCCCTTAATCCGGCGGAAAGCAGAATCATTGACGATACGACAGTAGTCAGGGGAGGGTTTGACGCCATCAGGATAGTATTCTTTCCATGTCTTTTCAAACTCGGTCACCAGTTGCGACAGCACTTCTCTATCCACGAGAATGTAATTTTGGGAGAGGCAAATCTGGCCGGCGTTGAAGGTTTTACCCCATAGAAGCCGTCTAGCGGCCAGCCTCAGGTCTGCTTTCTTGGTAATAAATGCTGGGTTGCGGCCACCAAGCTCGAGTAGAACGGGAGTGAGGTTGGGTGCAGCAGCTTTGGCAACAATACGACCCACATTTGAGCTGCCAGTGAAACAGATTTTGTCCCAACGCTCAGCTAGAAGAGCTTGAACTTGTGGAACTCCTCCCTGAACAACAGTTACAACATCGGGGTCGAAGGCAGCTTCAATGATCTCCTGCAAAACAGCAGCACAATTTGGAGACGTTTCACTGGGTTTGACCACCACGGTGTTCCCTGCAGCGATAGCTCCAACCAAGGGACAAAGGGTTAGACTAAAAGGAACATTGAAAGCTCTTCATATTGATGGCTCATTATCAGATCTCTGTCGACGAGTGACATAGGCGGAATGAAGGAAAAGGAGAACCCACCCAATCACCAATACGCAACCCAGGGGATCCTTTCTAATAACAGGTTTCATGAACGAAAAGGTCAAATCGATGTCCTGTGCCTTCTCATCCTTCGCCCATTTGGCAAGATTCTTTTGCACGAAGATGATGTCATTCTCGCACAGGCTAATTTCTGAAACATATGCTTCATATATCGGTTTACCCAAATCCCGATGTAGAGCTTCTGTGACGAGGTGCTCACGATCTTTCAAACTGTAGTCATAGTTTTAACAATATTAGCAACGGGATGCTGCAAATATTTGATTATAGTGCCATATTCCCCAATTCTAGGTATGCGAAGGTCCAGCAATCTAGTAAAGAGTTACTCTATTTGCGGTAAAACTTACGCCCAGTATAGTTTTCGGAGCTGTTGAATCCGGAACTCGATAGGCCGAGTCTTTTGCTGGAAGAAAGTGGTGCGCACTTTCTGAGCCTTTCCCGGGATCTCCTCTACCGGTGTGAATTGGAGATCTGGGACGTCGACAGCAGCCATGATGAAACGGATTCCGGCTCAATAGCCCTGTGTATCAGTTTAAAGAAAGAGAAGGGTAGTAGGGGAAGCGGATTATCAGAGGTTCGAGAAACTTCCGAGATGATGGCTTGATAAATGGAAATGGGAGTGAGGAGCAAACACAGATTGGGACTATATAGCTCGAGCGCAAGCTGCCAGCCGTTGTAACATCCTTTTCCATCCTCGGGAACAGCAGAACATGTCAGTGAGGGTTAGCTCCAAAGTGATGATGCTTGGTCGGACCGTTGGATCTTGAACGAAACCTTTTGGAGTTTGCGGAGAGAGTAGCCAGTGGCCGTAATACTGTGTATTGGTATTCCCGAGTCGTATTATATACTACCAGTTACCGCGATATCCTTTGAATGATTGGCGTGCCCCCATGTCAATCAATGACAGGATTAATTTGGCAGAATGAGCCGGATAATTGTCCTCAGAGATATCAAGTATCCGAAGAGACTGTGAAGTGATTGTTTAGGAATGAATATATTTGTTGCTCAGAAATGGAGAAAGGAGTGATAAAACTGCTCCACTGAATAGAAGAAACACTCCTTGTGACAGTACTGCGTATCTGTAATACCAAAACAGGGATACTGAATCCGGCCAATCCTTTCATCGGTCCAATGATCTTGTTTCGCCGCTCGGAGAAATAGTTTACCCGCTACAAATGGACCGAGGTTTGAATTTGACATAACTACAGCAAAACCTTTTGAAACCCGAGCATATATCGAACCTCCATATAACGAACAAAAATTCCTTCCTGAATTCATTCGTCATACAAAATTTCTTTATACCCGAGACAAAATGTCGCGCAGGAACCGCGATTTCAGTCAATCTTTTGAAAAGATAAACTCTACGCGCTCATAAATTGCAGAATCCAACCCTCAGCAACAAGGCCTTAGGACATTGGTTTGAGAAGCTATATAATCAAAAGATTACCCTATCCTCCGTCTCCGAGATCCTTTCTTCATGTTATGGTCATCTTGATCAGACTGTCCACTGTTCTTCAAAGCAGAAGCGCTGCCAACAGAATATTATTGCACAATTAGACTCTTGACGGCGGGAGTGATGAGGATGAGGATATGAATATAAAAAACCTTCCACGGAATACGGCTTCGGAGGCTTTAGATTTGGTTAGAAGGCTTCACTTGTATGAGGAGCAGCAGGATCAGGGGGATAAGAGTCTAATTCAACAGCTTACTTACTGTGAGAGAGGTTAGGAGCATGGAAGCTTGCAAACCAGCAGCAGCAGGATATTCGGGCGTACTTTGAACGCTCAACCTCTATATAACGAATTGAATGGGCTTCCAGGATTGAATCATTATAGCAATGGTTTCCTGTAACTGTGGTATAGCTAGTTAGTTATACTACGTTCAGGGTCATCAAACTTACAAGATTTCTGACACTACCCCTGACGCCAGAAGATGAGAAAAGCAGCCAAAAGGCTAGAGAGAGGAAGGGCAAAAAGGTCAATTAGTTATGACTCGCGTCAGGGGACAGAAAATGACTGAAACATTCGCTGAGGAACACCCAAGCCCAGCTTACCATCCGATATTAGAAACAGTCCAAAATATATAGATATTGTCTCGCATTTAAATCAATATATAC